CTTAACTTTCTCTACTCTTACTCTTACTTTCTCTTCCCTCCTCTTACTCTTACCTTTTTCTCTTACTCTTACTCTACTTTCTTATACTCTTACCTCTTACTCTCTTACTCTTACTCTTACTTCTTACTCTTACTTCTCTTACTCTCACTCTTATACTTTCTTTCTCTTACTCTACTTTCTTACTCTACTTTTTCTACTCTACTTTCTTACTCTTACTTTCTCTTTCTCTTTCTCTTACTCACTCTTACTCACTCTTACTCTTTCTCTCTTTCTCTCTTTCTCTCTCTCTCTCTCTCTCTCTTTCACTTTTTGCACTTTATTATATCTGTCCCACACAATGCATTATTGAATTTCTTTCTACAAATGACACACAAAGCAAATAAATAATAATAAATAAATAAATAATAATAAATAAGCAAAGCCTAATGGACAAGAAATTAATGGATATTAGAGAACATTTTAATATAACTAAACTAAAGGAGAAAGATAACAATACAGCGAGAATAAAACAAATGAAATAGAGAAGTAATGCTTGGAATTAATTAGAAATTACGAGCTTAAAATGAACATGAAAAGTACAATCAATAAATATTAATTAAATGGATTTATGAAACAGCTTAAAACAAATCAGTAAAGTAGTTTAATTAATAGAAGATAAATATTACATTCAAAAGTTTTGATAAACATGACGATTACTGTAAAAGATGTAAATACTGTACAATATAGATACAAATCATAAAAAAAACGAGAATAAATAATAAAGTCAATAAGATAATAATGATAAACGCTGTAATACCAATATCAATGATAAAAGTTATGATCTTAACATAAAAACATATTAACATTATAAATAGATATTGTAATTGTCTGTAACAAAAACCTTATTATATAATAAATTACTGACCATCATTATATAATATTTTGTCATTATCATTACTAATTACTAGCAATGATTGGGTGGGGTTGGTGGGCTGGCAATAGAAACAGGGCGTCATTTCAGCTTTTTCCACCATCCTGAAATTTATTTGAAAAAAAATGAGCTATTCGAGAGCATTTTTAACTTTATCCGAGCTAATAAAGTCATTCCGGGAAAAAATCTTGGGTGTTGCCCTTAAGCGGGGTTGGATGGGGAACCAGAAACCATTGAGGGGTATATCAGTTCTCGGAGGGGGGTGTAGCCAATAGTCCCCTAGGACCCCCCCAAATTTCCCTCTGATAA